CGGCCTCTGCATTTAAAAAAATATATATTTTTATTGATTTCAGAGAGGAAGGGAGAGGGAGAGAGAGATAGAAACACCAATGATGAGAGGGAATCATTGATTGGCTGCCTCCTGCATGCCCCCTACTGGGGACCAAGCCCACAACCCAGGCATGTGCCCTTGACCGGAACTGAACCTGGGACCCTTCAGTCCGCAGGCTGACGCTCTCTCCACTGAGCCAAACCGGCTAGGGCACGGCCTCTACATTCTGCTCCATGGCCTCCTACACGTAGCCTGACCTCCTCGGGTCTAATGAGGAGAAGTTGGGGGTTGGGGAGAAGAAGTCGGTGGCTGGTTGGGGGTTGGGGCACTCCAGCGACCCACCTCCCCGCCAGATCTCGCTGCCTACCTCGGAGTCGGCCAGTAGCAGCACACACAGCTCAGGGACCAGCTCGGAGGAGGAGGATGACAGCACCCTGGAGCTGCTCGCACCCAAGTCCCGAAGCCCCAGCCCTGGCAAGTCCAAGCGGCACCGGAGCCGCAGCCCGGGCTTGGCCCGCTTCCCAGGCCTGGCCCTCCGGCCCTCCTCCTGTGAACGCCGGGGCACCAGCCGCAGCCCCTCGCCCCAGAGCCGTCGCCTGCCCTGTGTGGCCCCCAACAGGGGCAGCAGTGATGGAGGCACCCAGGGCTGTAGTGAGGAGGGGCTCTCTGGACTGCCTGGTCCCTGGACCCTCCCCCCAACTGTGCCTCGGAGCCTGGGCTTGCTGCCTGCCTTGCGCCTAGAGACTGTGGACCCTGGAGGTGGTGGCCCCTGGGAACCTGACCAGGAGGCCCCGACCCCCGACAGCCTGTCTCCCAGCCCTCAGGGCCGGCAGAAGCTGGAGGAAGGGGGCCTGGGGCCCTGAAGCTGGGGTGGGCTCCCACTCTGGCCCAATCTGTAAACCCACCTGCCTCCCTCCTGCAGCTGCTCCAGCTTTCTCAACACCTGACACTCTGTCCCGGCCAGGGATGGCCAACTGGGGTCCCTCAAACTCAGTCCTGACACCTCAACTGTGACAATCAGCAAAGCCCTACCTAGGCCCCCATCTGGGATGGGAGCAGGGCAATCCTAGATCGATTAGGAATTAAATTCTCTAGCCTTGCTCCTGACTCCTTCTTAACTTGTTAGCAGTCTGGTGGGGGTGCGGGGGTGGGGAGTCAGAGAAAGGGACTCAAGGAGAGGATGTACGCATCTGACAAGCACCAGGCACCAGCTGTATACATTACACATGCCATCCCCTTTAATCGGCACCACAGCCCTGAGTGGTGGTGTTGAGTCCAGTGTAGTTCTTAGTCCCATTTCACAGGTGAGCAAACTGAGGCCTCCAAGAGGTTGCATGAGGCCTCTCAAAATCAGACACCCGAGCACAGTTTGGCAGTGCGTTGGAGGGAGGGGATATTTACTAGGTCCTAAGCGCTGGCCATGCATTGGCTCACTTAACCCTCAACAGCCCTCTGAGGTAGGTAGGTCCTGTTTATCCTGCTCTTTTTTAAGGAGGAAATAAAGGCTCGGGTTGGGGGAGGAGGCCCCTTGCTCAAAGGCACAGGGGAGATTGGAATTTAGGGCCGGGGCAGAATGAGCGGGCCAGCAGCTGTTCAGAGAAGGGGTCTCCCGGGAGGAGGGGAGCTGGGAAGTCGCTCTCTAGTGCCCCCGATTTTGGATTCAGACACAGGCACTTCTGTGGCATCCCTCATTCCCTGCCTGCTGCCTGGGGCCTCAGCACGCAGGCTCTCAGCTTCCCCTGGGCAGGACCCCGAGACGTGTATTCCCGTTGCAACATGAACGTACGTGCGCCTCCTCCCAGTACCTCCCGAGGAGGCTGCTGCAACTAGTTACCCCCACCCCGTGCCCATCTGGAGTGAAGTGCCCTGGCAAGGCCCAAGCCCAGGGCATCGGAATGAGCCTCCTGAATACCACAGTCCAAGCACAGAGGGGTTGGGTCACCAGCCCAAGGTCACCCAGCACAGCAGGAGACCTAGTCCAGTGTTTGGGCCTCAGCCCCCTCGTGAGAGCCCGTGCCACGCTTCAGTGTGACACGTGGAAAAGAGGCTGAGACCCCCGGGGCCTAGCAAAGCCACGGGCAAGGTCCAGTCCGGGGCGGTGGAAGCTGGAACCGACGTCACTGGTTCCAGGATGTCTGCTGCTCTTGGGTCCTCAGAGCTGCCTGGATCTGCTGCAGGCACCGGTCATAGAATGACATGGGGGCCTTCGGGGGCTCCGGAGGCCGAGCCTGCCCCTCCTCTGTGCCTGTGCCCCTGAGTCTCTGCTGGAGTCGCTGTAAGTGCGGAGCTGACACCCTGATGGCCCTGGGGCCCCTGGAACAGCTGTGGGAAGAGGAAAGTGGGGCAGGCGGTCACGGCTGCCAAGGACTCCACCCTGCTCTGCAGACACAGGAGTGGAGGCCCCGGGGAGCAGGGCTGGAGCTGGGGAGGGGGTGGTGATACCAGAAGGGGGCAGAATAAACCAGCCCGGCACCCAGAGGCCGGGGTTCTGCCGCTGGCCGGCTGCAGGAACCCGGGCCAGTCTGGGCCTGTTTCCTCACGTGTGAAATAGGACAAGTAGCACGGGGCTGGCTTGGAGAATCAGACTCGAAATGAGATTGTGAGTTAAGAAAGCGTTTTAACAACGTGTCCACAGGCCTTAGGCTGGGTGCACCTCACACACACCGTTTCCTTGGCTTCTGTGACCATTTTACAGATAAGAACACAGAGGTATGGAGAGTTGACTCAACTTGTCAGGTCACATAGGAAGTAAATGACAGAGTCAAGATGCAACCCAGCCCGGCCGGCATGGCTCAGTGGTTAAGCATCGACCCATGAACCAGGAGGTCAGGATTCGATTCCCGGTCAGGGCACATGCCTGGGATGTGGGCTTGATCCTCAGCAGGGGGCGTGCAGGAGGCAGCCGATCGATGATCCTCTCTCATCCTTGATGTTTCTATCTCTCCCTCTCCCTTCCTCTCTGAAATCAATAAAAATAATTTTAAAAAAAAAGATGCAACCCATGTGGGCCAACTACAGAGCTGACCCGAAGCACCAGCGGGTAGGGAGAGGACAATGGAGCTCAGAGGTACCTGACCTCTGCCCCATCAACTTGGCCCAGGTGCACAAGGCGGGCACAGGCTACCCCACCCCCTCGGGAAAAGTGCCCCTCCCTCCTGGCTCTGCTCTCACTTACTCTTTGCTCTCAGCACAGTCCAGGGGAGGGGCCAGCTTGAAGCAGGTCGTGCCCAGCAGCTCCCAAAGCATGTTGGCACCTGTGGGTGGGCTGTGGAGCCTCAGGGATCGTGCTAGTCTGAGGGCAGAGGCAGGCTCAGGCTGGGGAAAGGCCTCGCCAGCCAGGTGCCCCTTCCCAGTGCCTGGCAGCGGGCAGCCCACCCCCAAGGGTCCCAGCAGGCCTCACCGGCGCGTGCAGTTGCAGTGGAAGAGCAGCTGGAACTTGGTCTCCTGGGGCCTGATCTGGTGCTCACACCTGTCCAGGTGGCGGAAGCTGCGGCAGGCCTGGCGGGCGACTGGGGGCGGTGTGGTGGTGAGGGGAGCCCAGTCCCCCAGGGGGCCTCCCCCCCCCCACATGCCCACTGCCATCCAGAAGAAACACCAGCACATGGTCTCAGTCACACACACACACACACACAGTGGGGTCCAGAGCGCTGAGGGTGTTCAGAAAAGGCCCCCTGAAGGCAGAGGCTGCTACGCTCGGCTGGGAGAGAGGACGAGGAGGGGAGAGTGCTCCGGGCAGAAGGAACAGCATGTGCAAAGGCCCAGAGGTGGGAGAGAGCAAGTTGCTTTTGAGGAACCAAATGAAGTTTGTGAAACTCAAGTTTCGACTGAGGAGTAGGTTTCTCAGAACCAGTGCCCGAGGGCCCTGGGGTGTCGGGACATTGTCAGTTCAGGTAACAGGAGCCAAGGTGGGGGCTCGGAGGGCAGTGACATTGTCGAGTTGGAAGCTTATGGAAATCCCTCTGGCTGCAGTGTGACTTGAGGGAAGGAGAGACCCCGGGAAGAGCGTGGAGCAGGAAAGGGAGTAACACAGGCACCACCCCCCCACACACACACACATGCACAGAGGCCGGGACACCTCCTCACCTCAGGAACCCCACCCCACCACCGAGGTTAGGTTCTGAGCTCACCCTGAGGTTTGAGGGCACCCGGAGGCCCCTGATGGCCCGAATGGGTGACCTCCAGCCAGGCTGTGGGGGCCAGATCAGGCCTGGGGGAGGCCACGGGGGCCTGGAGGGCTGCCGCCTTGTCTTTGCTGGGGGCTGGGCTCTGGGGGCTGGGAGTCAGGGCCATGGCTGGGGAGCGCCAGGAGGTATTGTAGAGGGTCTTTGGCTGGAGGCGGGCGAGTGGGATGGAGCCGTACGTCTTACACCTAGGAGGTGGCAATTGATGGCAATTGGTAACCCAGAATCCCCGCTTCCAGAAGCTCCCCACCCCTTCATCTCTATGGAGACCAAGGCTCGGTCAGCTCCACCCCTCATCCCACTGGGTTGTGTGGGGCAGGGGGGGAGAGGGGATAGGGGGATGTTTGCCTCCTGGGCCCCACCCTGAGGAGAGGACAGAGAGAAAGAGGCATCATTCCCTGGAGGACAGACAAGCAGCCTCCCTCCCCGGGAAAGGGCTCAGAGGAGGCTGATACGTACCCACCCCACCAGTACCAGGCCACACAAGCCTCCTGCTCCTCCAGCACAAAGCAGGGGGTCTCCAGCACATTGAAGAAAGCCACACCCACAAGATCTGAGACGGAATCCCGCTGGTTCTGCAGGCACTGCCGGAACCTGCCACAGAGCCGGCACTCAGGTCCCCGGGCCACAGAGGGCCCCTGGCTCCTCCCCAAGCCCACCAGCCACTACCAGCAGGTGGCATGGGTCCAAGAGTTCCTTCCCTTGCCCGGTCAGTGTGGCTCAAGCGTTTGAGCATTGACCTATGAACCAGGAGGTCAGGGTTCGATTCCCGGTCAGGGCACATGCCCGGGTTGTGGGCTCCATCCCCAGTGTGGAGTGTGCAGGAGGCAGCCGATCAATGATTCTCAACATTGATGTTTCTCTCTCTCTCTCTCTCTCTCTTTCTCCTTCTCCCCTCCTCTCTGAAATCAATAAAAATATCTATATATATAAAAGCCTAATGTGCAAAGTGTCCCCTCAGGAGTTCGACCAACTGGGAGTTCGATCGTTTGCTATGAGGTGCGCTGACCCCCAGTGGGCAGTGCAGAACGAAGGAAGGCCCCTGCCAGCAGCTGGCAGCCAGGGAATGGAGGCCTGGCTGGCAGCTACTAGGGACCCTACCCATGCACAAATTTCATGCATTGGGCCTCTAGTATTTTTTTTAAAATGAAGAGTTTCTTCTCCACTCAGCCCTCAGCTTTCCCACTTGCATGGTGGTTCCAGGCTGTCTGAACCCATTAAGACACTCTGGAATCCCAGTCTCTGCACCCAGGAGCTGAGTAACTCTGCCCCAGCCCCCTGCCCACTGCCCACCTGGCATCACAATCGCAGTGAGAGATGGTCTGGAATCGGTAGTTTTGCATGCCGTAGTTGTACTGGAAAGGCGAGATGCTCTGAGGGCAGTGGTCATGCTCCCGGCAGCAGAGGTCGGGGCCCCGGAAGACACCTGTAGGGAGTGGAGGGGGCACCAGCTCATCAGGGTCCCAGGAACCACACACTGGCTATGCCCATGTGATGTTGGGACCAGAGACCCGGTGGCCTCAGGCAAGTCAGTCTCCCTCTATGGATTCACAGTTTCTTTTATTTATTTATTTAATATACTAGAGGCCCGGTGCACGAAATTCATGCACTCGAAGGGGGGGCGGGGCGCGGGTGTCACTCAGCCAGGCCTTGGGAGCCCTATATAATAAAGGGGAGCCTTTGGGCCCTAACTGGTTTGCCTCAGGGAATAGAGCATAGGCCTGCAGACTGAAAGGTCCCAGGTTCGATTCCGGTCAAGAGCATGTACCTTGGTTGCGGGCACATCCAAGGTGTGCAGGAGGCAGCTGATCGATGTTTCTCTCTCATCGATGTTTCTAACTCTCTATTCCTCTCCCTTCCTCTCTTTAAAAAATCAATAAAAAATATTTTTTTTTAAAAAAGGGAGCCCTTGCTTGATGG